AAAAAAAATGTTGAATATAAACAATTTCATCTTTAAATTGAATAAGACAACAGGTACAACAAAATATTATCGATGTGAAGACTCACGTTGTACTGTTACTGCACGTACTGATCTTCAAGATACTCTTTTGGACATTAAAGGTGATCATTGTCATCCACCTGAACCAGAAGAAATTCAAATTCGAACATTCAAACAAGTTGTCAAAGCACGTGCTATAAGTGAAAGTACACCAATTCCACAAATTTATGATGAAGAAGCTGCTCGAATGGATTTATCAACATTATCAATTGCTGCTTTACCATCTCAGAGAGAACTTAGTTAGAAAAAAATTTTTTTTTTTTTTGCTTAAAGCATATATATTTTCCAGGTAGCACACTAAATAAAGCACGTCGTCTACAAACACCACCTATTCCTAATTCTCAATTATTTGATTTACCAGAATCTTATAAAAAAACATTGAAAAATTTACCTTTTCTTTGTATCGATCAGATTATAAAAAGAAAAACTCGAATATTGGTGTTTGCATCTAACGAGCAATTGAAATTATTATTTAATAGCTCAGTCATATTGATGGATGGTACCTTCTCATCATCTCCTCCGATTTTTGATCAAGTATATTGCATACACGCAATTAAATTTGAACAATGTGAATATGAGTTTTTTCTTAAATAAATTTTTAAGTACTTTTGTTTTTCACAGCATTTGTGTGTGTTTTTGCTCTCTTACCTGATCGAAAAAAATCTACATACAAGTATTTGTTTCATGAATTGCATGATAGAGCTGCTCAACTTAATATGATTTTTAATCCATGTACAATTATGTCAGACTTTGAAGGAACATTAGCTGAAGTACTTAAAGCTGAAGTACGTATTGTTTAATTTAAATTTCAACAAATACTGTAGTACTGTCTGTCTAGTTTCCTAATAGTGAACATGTCGGATGTTTCTTTCACTATACCCAATCGATCTATCGAAATATTCAACAATTAGGTTTATCTTCTCAATATGCTCGTGATGATGAATTTCGAAATACTTGTCGAAAACTTATGGCACTTGCTTTAATGCCTATTTCATTAGTACTACAATCATATGATGATGTTCATGATGGAGTTCTTGAATCATCATCGACGAAATTTAATCTACTTAAACCTCTTTTTACTTATTTCGAAAATCAATGGATAAAAAATGTTGGTATTGAAAAATGGAATGTTTATGGAATTCAAATGAGAACAAATAATAACGCCGAAGGTTTGAAGATCCAAAATAGTATTAATATGTTGCTGTTTTTCATAAGCTTATAGGGTACCACAATCGTCTTAATTCACGAATATCTAAATACCATCCGAACATATGGGCCTTCATAAGATGTATTCAGGGTGAGGAAAATAGGTTCAATCATTTATTAATACAAATGAAAGGTGGCCTCACAGCTCGACCGAAAACAAAAAAAACTCTTGCTATTCAACATCGAATTGATACATTATATGTTCGTTATAATAATGGTGATGTTAATGCTAATGAACTTCTTGATGGACTATCGTACGTTGTTGCAAAAAATGTTAAATCAAAAAGGAAATGAAGAATCATTATTTTGTGTGAAGTGACATTTACTCTAAGTCATTATTATATTTCATAATTATTTCTTATCTACTTAATAAAGCTTATCATAAATTTATACATATGCATACAAATTTATCACGAATTTATATATATATATATATTTGTCAGTAATTTGTCTATATATATATATATATATCATGTCTTATTTAGACATTCTAATTTTCGATATTTTTCCTCTTCGCTATTTTCTCTTCGATATTTTTTCATTCGCTGTTTTTCCTTTTCTATATTTTCTTTTCTATATTTTTCTTCTACATTTTTCCTTTCGACATTTTTCCTTTCTTCCTTTTTCCATCCATTCAATAAAAATGGTTGAATTGTTGAATCATGATGGACATGAGTATGTGAAGATGCTTTTCGATTTTCAATAGCAGCATGAAGAAAATGAACATCACTACTAATAAATGTTGTCATTTGAAGATTCGAATCTAGTTCTTGTTCAAGTTTATTGAATAATGTTTGCAATTGATCAATCGGACCATTCCATGTTAAAAAATCTGTATCTTTATATCGACCATAGAATGCATCTTTCAAACAAATATGTGTAACTAATGAATATTGCCAATGATGCATATAAATATGACATAATAATTCTATTAATGGTAAATTTAATGGACCTCCTTTAATAAATCGATAGATTTTTCCATTGTAAGAGAAAACATTATTTCGTAAGACTATTGCAGTTAATTCTTGAATAGCATCACTTGATAATTTTTGATGTTGATCATTGACAAGTGGATTCATTAGAAATATATTTAATGCTTCAAGAAGAGCCGAATGTGATATCTTCGTATATAAATCATGAATTTTAAATGTTGCAAAATATGTTTTCGGTAGAAGAAGATCTAGTTGTATACAATAATATTGTAGTTTTTGTATAAAGTCACCACCATTAAGAAATGTTGTTGATCGTGAAAAATTATCAAATAATGGTCGAAGAAGTTGATTAAGATAAGTAGCTAGAGTATATATTGGACAATGCTGACATGATGATAGTCGTGGTTGTACTGACATATGAACATTTTCATTCGTTTCTGGTAAGAAATAAAGATATGGAAGATTGATATTTGTTTTTTTGCCAATACTTAATCTGATTAAATGATCTTCTTTAATCAATTTTCTTTGATATAATATTTCCAGTTGTAAATCAATGGATTGAATAATTCCTTCTAATTGTTGTTGTTCTGTATTAATTTCATTAATTGTTTCAATCAGTTCGTAACAAGTTGAATTCTGAATATATTCATTCGATTTTTGATTAAATTCATTCAATCGACCAAGATAATATGTATTCATCTCATCAGTGGTTCGCCGTAGAATCAATTGATCTTTATTTAATTGATATCTAATTGATAGAATGAGTTGTTTTTCATAGAGTGTACGCTCTTCAAGTACAGAAGGCATAGGTTGAAGAAATGATTCATTGAATAATTGTTCAATCCCGTTTTCAAAATGCATTTGACGAGAGAGATCGATTGGATATTTGATGAAAAGTTTTGTAAGTTCTCGTTGAAGTGGTGCCATTTGTTTCGTAACGATTTGAGCCAGTAGTAAAGAAGATTTTGATAAAATATGTATTTGACATGGTGGAACATAGGTTGGTCCACGATTAAGAAATGTAACTTGTTCCTGTGATAGATGATGTGGTGTGTCTTGAACTATTATTGGTGAGCAAGTGATATCTGATTTTTGGATAGGAATGCTCCGACGATCGATCCAATCTAATTCTTGACCGTCGGAGCTTTGACGAAAAAATGTAGTTTTAATTTGTAAAGACATGTAAGACGTTCATTTATATTCTGAAAACGTCGTTCCATAATATTCAACATTGTTTGAGTTAATTTTTTATGTGATGGACCAGAACATTGATTTTCTTTCATTTCAGCCAAGTCTGTATCGAATTTCTTTTCATATTCATTCATTTTTGCTTCGCCTGTTGTAATATAAATCATCATCATTTCGGATTTCGTTCGTTGTAAAATTTTCTCACATCGATCCTTTAAACGTTGACAAGTCATCGTATCAGTAATTGTATCGAATGATATGGGTGGAGGTATTTTAAGTGATTCAAATGATTGTGGTAAATGATTATAAACAATACGTTGTTTTAATATTGCTACATCAAATTTAGATGTTTCTTTTTCATATTTGGCTTGAGTAAGATTTTCAAATATTTGTTTTTGATATTCATTTAGATTTTGTTGATAATATTCTAATTGAATCAATCGATCATTATAATCATATTGAACGATAGAAATTTGTCCTTCTGTAGGTACTTTATATATAGGTGTGACATATTGTTGAACAAATTTAGTAATAGCTTCTCCGATTTCACATGTCCAACAATTGTTTAAACGTTTTTTTCTTTCTTTCAATTGAGCTTGATAATGTTCAGTTTGGTTTCGAAATTTTTGTAGTACTCTCTGAACATAATTCAAACAAGAAGCATGATCTATTTCATTTGGATCAGATGCAGTTGTTTGACCCCGATCAATCATTCTCTGTTTAACTTCTAAAGGCCATAATAAGGGTGTCGATGTTGTGGCTTGTGGCTTTAATGTACCTGTTCCAAAACGTAAATATGTCGTCCATAGTAATATATCAAGATCAATGCATTCAAGTTGGTGAATAAGAATAGCAACCTCTCGTAAATATTCAATATTGATAGAAGTTGTTGTTGTTTTTTCAAGTATAGGATTGATTATTTGTTCAAATGCTTTATTATGACTTGATAAATATCTTGGTATTTGATTACTAGTTGATTCTTCTTTATCGGGTTTCATTTTTTTCGATATGTTATCTGTTGTTGTACTTGGTGTTAAAGTTGGTCGTTTCTTGACGGTTGATGGTTTAGATTTATCGCTATCCTCTTGCTCTTTATCAGTAGCTGATAATTGACTTCATTCTTGAGATAAATTTTCTTCTTTGAACACGGAATCAATCAAATTATTCTTATCATCATTTAATTGCTCAATTTCAATTACATCATTATTATTATCTTTGCCAATATTCATATAAAGATTATCAAAATCAATGTTTGTATCTTCTTCCTCATCAATATCATCATCACATCGATGGAAAATATCATCAAATCGATTGATATCTCTTTCAATCTATAATAGATAGTTGTTATTAATATTGAGTAAATGCTGTTCATTTTTTTTCAGAGTTAAACTTACGTTTCGATCTGGATCAGTCATCAATTTTGTATTAAAGAATACTTTCAATTGATATTCAACTATCTAAAATTATGAAGAGAATTAAAACAAAAAACTATCATAAATGCTTATGTTTTCCTTATTATATATCATAGCAAGAAAAAATAAAAAATAAAAAATTTGATACAATAAAATAACAACTATTTATGATAGCCTGATTTAAATGAAATGTTCATTTTTTATATTGAATCTTCATTCTAAAGTGAAATAAATAAAATTTAAGATTCTTTATAAATGTATATGTACATTGGTAGCTTGTTGTAAGACATTAGTAGGCTTGCGTTTTAGCATTGGCAGTGGTGGTTTCTTGTGCACAAACATATCTTCTAAAGTACGGTTGGTTTTGACGGCAAATTCCAGTTGAACGTGTTCCACATTAGATCCTTTATATGCAAAATGTTTTTTTCCACCATGTGCGGAAGTTACTCTGAAAAGCTAATCTTGGTCCACTTTCGAGATTATATTTGGCATACATGATATTGGAATCCCAAGGCTTCTTTCTTTGTAATACTTCAGGTACAACATCAATGTGTTCTGTTGCCTGTTGCAGTTGATGTTCTCTTCTTGTGGGCTTATGAAGTAATTGTTGGTGTAATTGGTAGTAAATTTGCGAATCGAATCTTTCAAATACTGGCATAGCCTGATTGATTTCGAAGAATCGATGAAAATGTTTGGATATAAATGAAGGTGGATATTCATTTAGTAAAAATGATAAATCAAGACGAATACGTTCCATATCAAAATCTTCTACATTTGAGCAGATTCGTGCAGCTTTTAATAAAGCAGCATATGGAATATTACGAAAAACATGTCGAGGATGATCCGAAGTATAAGGTAGTACATAAGGTTCAGCAGCTGATTTATGAAAGATAGATGTTTTCAAGTGACCACCTTCGTTGCTAACGGTAACATCGAGAAAATCGATAGTCGATTGAATAGAATAAGAAATACGAATATTGGGATCTTTTCTATGAACATTTTCTAATTTTGCTTTGATTTGATCATGTGTTAAGTTTGTTGTCATAAATACATCATCAATATATCTAAAGAGAATAATGAAAATATTATAAGTAGTATTGAATAAGACTCAAACATTTTGAACAAACCTTCTATAAATTTCCTGATCTACTTGTTGGTCATGTATTAGTTGTTGTTCCCAATCCAGCATATAAATATTAGCTAATGTTTGGGTAAAGGCAGAGCCCATTGCTCCACCACGTATTTGTCGATAATGTTTTTTTTCGTAGACAAAAATATTCGTATCCAATACGAGACGAGCCATTCTCATAATATCATCAATACGTAATGTACCGATTTTATTATTACGTAAATTTCGCTCTAGAAATTGTAATAATACTTCTAAATCACCTTGTCGTGGTATCATTGTATAAAGATTTTCAACATCAAAAGTAATAAACAAAGTGGTTGGTTTTAAATAACCATTGGCAACATATTTTTCTAATGCTTGGACAAGATCAATACCATTAATAAATGTAGTTTGTCGAGCAACACGTAGAAATTTAGGTGCTAATAGATCATTAAGAAATTTGAATATTTCTGTTGCTGGTGCATGAATAGCTGCTACAATAGGCCGCAATGGTGTATCGGGCTATGAAAATGAAAGATAAATAGATAAATTCAAAGAATTATATATTATGTATATATTTCTAATGGCAATAAATACAAATAAACTTACTTTATGTGGTTTCGGAATAAAATGAAGATGAGCCAATTCTAATGAATCTATTTTTGGAGACATTTTCTTATGTTGCTCATGATTAATGGCACGATTTTTCAAGAGAGAAGCTAGAAGCATAGTAACTAATCGAAGATTTTCCGATAAAACACAACGTTCGTTGGAAATCCCTTGTTAAGCTTCGGTTTCGATCATATATTTCGAAGCTTTGTCACCGAAAATAGTCACATTACCTGCATAAAATACTTTGCTCTTGTCAGTTCGACGAACAGTAATATCAGGTCGATGACGTAAAATTTTTCTTATACTTCGTATTACTTTTTGTTCACGTCGAGCACGAATATTTAGTTGATGTGGTAATTTTTTTGATTGAAGTTCATAGAGTATACGTTTCAAGCAAGGAAAACCTTCTTTCTCACGTGGTTCTATAAGCTGCACATGATGATCATCAAGACAACCTTGAACAATTGAACGTAATGTTTTATATTGTTCATTGACAATATCATCAATAGATTGACGTGAGAATCGACTTTGACATGGTGGAATATATTTAAGACCTTTGATAAATATAGACATTTGTATTGGCGATAAATTTAAATCTGTTTCAATAAAAGATGATGAGGCAGTAATATTTGTGGGTAATTCCGTGGGGTTCCTACCACGGAATACAGAAGCATCTCCGAGTAGCCTTCAAATAACATCATTCGATAGAACTTTTTATGCTGATCATTTTGGTAACCAAAAAGTCTAGCATTGACCACACAATAAGAGAGAAATTCGCAAAATACGAAAGTACGCATTTCTGACATTTTGTCCAAATTCAAATGTAATCGTTTTCATTGTTTCCGCGGATATGAATCGAAATAT